ACTACTACTTTACTACTACAACCGCTACTACTACAACTACTACTACTACTACTACTACGACTACTACTACTACGACGACGACTACTACTACTACAATTACTAGTACTACTACTACTACTACTACTACTACTACTACTACTACTACTACTACTACTACTACGACTTTACTGATACTACGACGACTACTACTACTACTACTGACTCCACTACTCCCCCAACCCTTTACTACCACTACCACTACGACTACGACTTGACGACTTTATATACCACACTACAACGATAATAAAAAAAACTAACCCTACGACTTCATTACTCATACTACTACTACTACTACTACTATACTACGACTATACTACTACTATACTATACTATACTATACTACTACTACTACTACTACTACTACTACTACTACTACTACTACTACTACTACTACTACTACTACTACTTACTACTACGACTACGACTACTACTACTACGACTACTACTACTACGACTACTACGACTACTACTACTACTACTACTACTACTACTACTACTACTACTACTACTACTAGTACGACTACTACTACTACTACTACTGAGACCACTACTACTACTACTACTACTACTACTACTACTACTACAACTACTACTACGACTACTACTACTACTACTACTACTACGCTACCAATACCACCACCTTACGGCGACGTACAATTGCTATCGACTACTACGTACTACTACTACTACTACTACTACTACTTACTACTAACTTACTACTTACTACTAATACTAAATTACTACTACTACTACTACTACTACTACGGACGACGACAACGACGACGACGACGGGACGGACGACGGACGACGACCCCTTACTACTACATACTACTACTACTACTACTATTACGACTACGATTACTACTACTACTTGATACCACTTACCACTACTACTACTACTACTACTACTACTACTTCTACTACTACTACTACTACTACTACTACTACTACTACTACTACTACTACTACTATCTACTACTATTACTACTACTACTACTACTACTACTACTACTACTACTACTACTACTACTACTACTACTAATAATATTACTACAATTACTACGACTACTACGACTACTACTACTACTTCTACTACGACTACTACTACTACTACTATTGCTACTACTACTACTACTACTACTACTACTACTACTACTACTACTACTACTACTACTACTACTACTACTACGACTACGACGACTACTACTACTACTACTACTACTACTACTACTACTACTACTACTACTACTACTACTACTGATCCTCCTCCTCCTCCACCTTCCTCCTCCTCCGCCTCCGCCTCCGCTTCCGCCTCCGCCTCCGCATCCGCCTCCTCCGCCTCCGCCTCCGCTTCCGCCTCCGCCTCCGCCTCCGCCTCCGCCTCCGCCCCCGCCCCCGCCCCCGCCCCCACCCCCGCCTCCGCCTCCGCTCCGCCTCTGCCTCCGCCTCCGCCTCAGCTCCGCATCCCCCTCCTCCTCTGCCTGCCTCCGCCTCCGCCTCCGCCTCCGCTTCCGCCTCCGCCTCCTTCCCTCCGCCGCCTCCTCCTCCTCTTCCTCGTCCTCCACGTCCTCCTCGTCCTCCTCGTCACATCCTCCTCCTCCTCGTCCTCCTCGTGCTCCCCCCTCCTCCTCCTCTTCCTCCTCCTCCTCCTCCTCTTCCTCTCCTCGTCCTCGTCTTCCTCGTCCTGCTCGTCCTCCCCCTCCTCCTCCTCCTCCTCCTCCTCCTCCTCCTCCTCCTCCTCCTCCTCCTCCTCCTCCTCCCCCTCCTCATCCTCATCCTCCTTCTCCTCCTCCTCCTTCTCCTCCTCTTCCTCCTCCTAATTGTCCTCCTCCGCCGCCTAATTATCCTCATCATCCTCTTCCTCCTCCTCCTCTTCCACCGCCTCCTCCTCATATTCCTCCTCATTCTCCTCATAGTAGTACTATCAGTATTAATAGTATTGTTAGTATCATTATTCGTATGTTATTAATAGTAGTAGTAGTAGTAGTAGTAAACATATTATTATTACTGTTGTTATTATTATAACTACTACTATTATCACTACTAGTATCATTATTATTAATAATATTATTATTCGTATTATTATTAGTATTATTACGAGTAGTATTATTATTAGTAATATTACTTCGACTACGACTACGACTACTACTACTACTACTACTACTACTACTACTACTACTACTACTACTACTACTACTACTACGAATACTACTACTACGACTACTATTATTAGTATCATTATTACTATTCTTATTTTTAGTCGTAGTATTATTATTACTGTTAGTAGTATTAGTGATATTGTTATTGTTATTGTTATTGGTATTGTTATTGTTTGTATGTTTATTATTAATAGTATGATTATGAGTAGTGTTATTACTAGGATTCGTACCAGAACTAGTAGTAGTAGTAGTACTCCTAGAATCAGCAGTATCATTAATATTAGTATTAGCATTATTACTATGAATATCAGTATTGTGACTATGAGTACTACGACTACTACTACTGTAATTATTAGTATCAGTATTACTATTATTAATTCCATTAGTACTATTAGCACTATCATTATTAGTATTACTAGTATTATCATTATCCTTATAATTACCCGTAACCGTATCATTAGCATTAGTCTTAGCAGTAGTATGATTAGTAGTAGTGTCAGTAGTATGAGCAGTCTTAAAATTATGAGTATTAGTGTTATTGTTATTAAGATTCAAATTATTACTAGTAGTAATAGTATTAGTAGTATGTTCAATAGTATTAGCAGTATTAGCAGTAATAAAAATCTGATAACTATCAGTATTAGCATTACTACTAGCATTACTAATATTACTATGTTTACTCGTACTAATACTACTGGTATGATTAATGTAATTAATACTATTACTACTAGCATGATTAGTATTATTAGTATTATTAGTACAATTATTAATACTACGACTAATACTGTAAGTAACAGCATTCATAGTATTAGTTGTAGTAGTAAGTCCTCTCCTTATGCTTAGTATGGTTAATCTTCTTATTATTATGATGTTTCGTATGATAAATATTACTCCTCTGATTCGTATTATGCGTATTATCTTATTCTTATTAGTACTACTCTGATTCGCCTCATTAGTAATATTCGTATGAACCGTATTAGCATCATTCTTATATTATTAGTCGTTTGCGCCTTCATCTGCTTCGTCTTATTATTATTATTATTATTATTATTATTCCTCCTCCTCCTCCTCCTCCCCTTCCTCCTCCTCATCCTGTTCCTCCTGCTCCTCCTCCTCCTCATCCTCTGGCTTCGCCTCCGCCTCCGCCTCCGCCTCCTCCTCGTCCTCGTCCTCGTCCTCGTCCTCGACCTCGTCCTCGTCCTCGTCCTCCTCCTCCTTCTCCTCCTCCTCCTCCTCCGCCTCCGCCTCCGCCTCCGCCTCCGCCTCCGTCTCCTCCTCCTCCTCCTCCTCCTCCTCCTCGCCAAATGCAGGCGCGCCAGGTTTCCCGGGCTGCGTCCAGCCGTGGCGACAGGAGGAGCCCGCCCGAGAAGGCCAATCGCCGCTGCCTCGAGGGGTGCGCCAAGAGGGCCACCCTATACCGCCCCGCTACATGCGCTGCTGCCCAGAGGCCGCGAGGCTGTGCGAGGCTGGCCTCGATGGACGCGCAAAACGCTCCCAGTGAGGGCCAACGATAGGGGGGGAGTGGCTCAGTTGGGGTAACGTCGAGCCAGAAGCGGCGACATGTACCGCCGATAGATTGGCGATGGGCCACCGATGCCAGGGCTGGACTTAAACGCTGTTGTTCGTTATGTGTTCGTTTTGTTGTTCATGTTGCCATACCGGTTTTTTATGTACCTCCCTGCCAGAACGAAAAACACAGCACAGCCGAAGTCAGCAAAACGGCGTTTAGGTCCAGCCCTGCCCGATGGCGGGGCGGGCTGCCAGGCCCCTGACTGGGGAAACCAAAGGGTGCCGATACCGCTACTCCCTGGACCTCTCCCGTGGTACGTTCTGGCCAGAATTTCGAGGCGAATCCACAGGTGGCGACGAGGGCTGCCCAAGAGGCCCAAAAACGGGAAAACGAGGAAAAGGTAGCAGCATGGGCACCTGTGCCTCCTCTGAGCCTCGGCGATGCAAGGCGATTGGGGGTCGGTGCGTCCCCCCTGAGCCTGCCCCTCATTGCCGCTGCCCCTGACCGAGGTGCGCTCACCAGCAAACGGTGACCAGCAGCAGCCCGTGCACGAGCCCACGCGAGCCCCTGCGGTTCCCTCGCTCCGCTCGCGTGGGCGCCCGTCGGCGGGCTCCTCTGGCAGTTATCTTCTTGGCTTAGGCATATGGTCAGCGATGAACTGCACGCAGGCTTTGGTGGACATGCGGGCCTCCTCAGGGACCTCGAGGCCATGCTTGTTCGCCAGAGCCTCTGCGACCTTCAGCTGAGCCTGCCCCGGCGGTTTCGGCGGCGCCTGCTCCTCGATGCGCTTTTGGTGCGCTGGCACACTCTCCCCAAGTTTAGCCTCTAGATCTCTGATGAAACCATCGAGCTCCAGTTCGTCCTCCAGCACGTCCTTCGGCACCTCCTCGCCCGCTCTCTCGGCCAGTTCCTTCGCCTTATTGACTCTGTACAGTGGGGGGCGGAACTGCAATTCCTCATCATCACGTTGTTTCATCATATCATCGATGAATTTGGAGCAGCTAGATTCGTCATTCAAGACGTCCTCTGGCACGTCCTGGTGGTCCTCCCCGGATACCTCAAGCAGCAAGCGCCTTGCGAGCAGTATTTGATTGTCCGTGGGGGGCAGGGACCCTCGCTTGCGGCTTCGTTCCTTGATGAACCTTGCACAGACGTTTTTGCTGCGACGCGCCCTATCTGGCAGCTCCACGCGGTCCCTCGTCGCCAACCTGAGAAGAAAAAACAAAACGACACAAGCGGAAACTTTGAGAGATCCGCGCGGATTTTTAGGGTCGGTGCTGGGCGCACCTCCCCGGCGCGCGGGGCGCGACGGGGGCGGCGCTGAAGGCGCCACGAAGGGCGTGAGGCGGGGGGTCCAGCGCCGACCAGCGACATGCGCGCGGACCTCTGAAAGGTTCTGAGTGTGTCGTTTGCTGTTTCTCTCAGCCTCTCTGCCTTCTGCAGCAGAGCCTCGCTCGGGGGCACAGGCGTCACGGCAATGAGCAGGTCGCAATCCCTTTCCAGGCCGCGCGATGACTCATAGTTGGACTGGGGCAATGACATCCCCGTCGCCTCGGGGGGAACAAAGATACCAATATCCGCCACCGCGCCTTGATGCACATTGTCCGCAGGCCCATTCAAACCGCCTGTGTAGCACCCCGCAGTTGCGGATAAGAGCGAGGGGCGGGCGCGGGGTGGGTCGCGGGTGGGTCGCCGACGGGTCGCGGGTGGGTCGCGGTGTGGGACGCGGGTGGGTCGCAGGTGGGTCGCGGGCGGGTCGCAGATAGTTCGCGGGTGGGCCGCGGGCGAGTCGAGTGCGGGTCGCAGGCTGGGTCGCGAGTGGGATTACAACAGCAACAACAACAACAACAACAACAACAACAACAACAACAACAACAACATCAGCAGCAGCAGCAGCAGCAGCAGCGGCAACAACAGCAACAACAAACACAACAACGACAGCAACAACAACAACAGCAACCACAACAACAACAACAACAACAACAACAACAACAACAACAACAACAACAACAACAACAACAACAATTACTAGCACGTGGGGACACTCCGTTCTCACCAGTGCCAGGGTTTTCATACGACGCCCGCCAATACCCCCACTTTGTGGGGGGGCCGGTTCAAGCTCTACCACATTTCCAAACGACTCTTCGCCACCACCCACACCCAGCTTCCCGCCCTATGACGTTCGGACACTTCACTTCGTGGCCTGCGGACGACCGTGGCTACTACACTGGCGCATGGGTACAGTGACTTGTTGTGGTAACATTTTCTGGACGCTAGCTTAGTATACGACTTTTCCCCCTGTTCCAACACTGGACACCTGTACTGGTTTTTGGTGGCAACGTGAAAAACCATTGGTTTTTTAGGATTCGGACAGCGCGCGCGGGTAGAAATTTTGAAAATTCGTGCAGATGTTTTTCGAACCCCTACGGTGCGATTCGTATGATTGTATGTTGCGCGGTGCTAAAATTCCTAAGAAACCCAATGGTTTTTGAAGATTTCGGCGTGCGCGCGAAGAAGAAAAAACGAATGTGTCCCGCATGGTATTATTTGACAGGGATGATGGCCCTGGCAGGTGCGCAACCGTTGTTGGAGAAGTTCGAAGCACGTGAAAAAGTTGCTCGCAAAAGCCCGTTTGACAGAAATGTTTAAAAAGTGTTGGGTTTCCTACAAATCCGCAAGAGCGCGCGGGATGAAATGTTGACACTTTTTTTTTGAAAAACCATTGTTGTTTTATGTTTTTATGTTAAAATCGCTACGAACACTAGGGTTTTGGAAGGATTTCGTCTTGCGCGCGCGAATGTCCATTTTACCTTATTTTTTGCAAGGGATTCTTGAAGTTTGGTTATGTTAGAACAAGAAATGTCCACTTTAGCTTATTTTTTGCAAGGGAAAACCGATCGTAACAACACAACCGGATCCGGACTCCCCCGTTTTGCCTGAGACTTCCTCACGAAAATGATGAAAATGAGGCTGCGGCCTAGGCGCGGCGGGGGGGTCGTGCACCAGGGGCCCCAACAATAATTATTCTTTAGAAGTAATAATGTTCAACAACAACAACAACAACAAACAACAACAACAACGACGACGACGACGACGACGACAACAACAACAACAACAACAACCACAATATTTTTAAGATTGTTCGCCCTTACATGCTCGAGTGTCAAATAACGCGTATTTCCTAAACCCTCGACACCCGCCCTCTTCGTCTTCGATCGAGCACCTTTCGAGGGGTACAACAACAACTACAATACTTTTAATATTGTTCGCCCTTATATTCTCGAGTGTCCAATAACGCGTATTTACCAAACCCTCGATACCCGCCCTCTTCGTCTTCGATCGAACCCCTTTTGAGGGGTATACCTTTCTTCCCTGCAGGCCGGGCCCCGGCAAGCGGCGGGGCGGCCGCGGACCGTCGGCCTGGCCAGCGGCAGCGCTGATCGGCGGGGCGGCCGCGGACCGTCAACCCGACCCCAAGAGGGACGGACAGGGGACCGACGACGACGACGACGACGACGACGACGACGACGACGACGACGACGTCGAAGACGACGGCGACGACGACGACGACGGCGACGACGAGCGAAAGCGAGAGCGAGAGAGAACGACAGCAGGGTCACGAAGGGCACGAAGTAGGCCACGAAGGGCGACAGCGGGGACACGAAGGGAATGCGTATGGGGCCACGAAGAGCGCGAACGAGCGGGGGCCACGAAGTGCAGATAATGCGGGGCCACAGAAGGCAACTATGGGGCCACTGAGGGTAGCAACTGGGCCACGTAGGACAGTGAGGGAGACACAAATGGCGACAGCGGGGCCACGAAGAGCATGCACATGGGGCCACAACGGCGCGACTCCTGGGTGCCTGGGTGTCGGGAGCGCGGCGCTTGGGCAAATTGCAAGAAATTCCAACGCAAGGCTATTCTTCAGTAAGTTGCAAGCAAGTCTCCAGCGAGAGCGCGACTCCAGAGCGCCGGGAGAGCGATTCCTGAATAAATTCTAAGGAATTCCCAAGCGAGAGCGCGATTCCTGAATAAAATGCGAGGAAGTCTCGGGCGGGAGCGGGGGTCCTGGCTAAGAGGCCCAGTTTGAGCAGGAAGACTTTCCCTGTCAAAAAACAGGGTGCGAGTGTCGAGGGGCACACTTTGATTGAGAAAAAACAGTATGCACCGGTGGGGAGGATCAACAATAATTATTCTTCAGAAATGAGAATTCAACAACAACAACAACAACAACAACAACAACAACAACAACAACAACAACAACAACAACAACAACAACAACAACAACAACAACAACAACAGCAGTCAGTGGACACTCATGCGCGATGTTTCCACACGAAGCATGCGACCATCATGAGAACCATCCCCACCATGGGGGACGGTTGTTCTGTAGCGGGGCCCGTCAGTCCCGTTCCCAGATATCCCGCCCAATGAGGTCTTGCAGACACCTCCTCCGAGGAAAACCAACACATCCCGCCTCGAAAACGCATGCCCGCGCCTGGCCAGTGGAGTCGCAGCCAAAGGTAAAGCCACAAAAAGTACCGAGCGACAAGCTTGCCGTGGTGGGGGTGGGGGCTGTCGGTGGCGAGGCAAAGACCTGGCCCCGAATAGAAAGGGAGGAAGTCTCGAGCAGGGCCGCTGTTGTTGCTGGGAGCGGCGCCAGTGCTGAAAAGAATAGGGCGCTAGTCCACCGTAGAACAAAACGAAATCGCGAGCGGGAACGCTGGTTCTGTTGGGTCGGCGGCTGTCGGCGGCGAGGAGGAACACCGCCTTGAGCAAGAAGGGAGGAAGTCTCGAGCGGGAGACGTGGTTTTGTCGGGACGGGGGCTGCCGGCGGCGAGGTACAGCACCGTCCTGAGGGAGAAGGGAGGAAGCCTCTTTGCGGGAGCTTTGTTTTTGCTCGGAACGGCGCCAATGCAAAAAAAGAATCGGACGCCAGTCCAGCGTAACACGTGAGGAAGTCTCGGGCGGGAGCGCTGGTTTTGTCGGGACGGCGGTTTTCGGCGGCGAAGAGGAACACCGCCTTGAGTAAAAAAGGAAGAAGTCTCGAGCGGAAGCGTCGTTGTTGCTGCGGGCGGCGCCGATGAGAGAAAGAGTAGCGCGCCAGTCCAAGGTAAAACGGGAGGAAGTCACGAGCGGTAGCGCTGGATTTGTTGGGACGGCGATTTTCGGCGGCGAGGAGGAGCACCGCCTTGGGTAAAAAAGGGAGGAAGCTCTCCAAATAGGCTTGCCCTATAGGAATCCTAGCTCCAACCTTCCTAATTGATCCGTTGCCCCTCACCCCACCCTAATTCCAATGCCCCCCTTCGAATTCCTATGGCTATGCCTATGTCTATGCCTATGCCTCCCCCCTAACTCCTATGCCTATGCCTTTGCCCATGCCCATGCCTATGCCTATGCCTATGCCTATGCCTATGCCTATGCCTATGCCTATGCCTATGCCTATGCCTATGCCTATGCCTATGCACCACCTCTCGCCTGCTTGTTTTTGCTTGCCCTTGCTTGCTTGCACTTGATCGCTGGCTCTTGCTTGCTTGTTATTGCTCGCTTGCGCTTGCTTGCTTCCGATTGTTTGCTTGCGTTTGCTTGATGTTGTTCCTCCCGTCCTCCTCCCGTCCTGCTCCTGTCCTCCTATCTATTTGGAGTCAACGCTGGCTGATATCTCGAGCGGGAGCGTTGTTGTTGCTGCGGGCGGCGCCGGTGAGAGAAAGAGTAGCGCGCCAGTCCAAGGTAAAACGGGAGGAAGTCACGAGCGGTAGCGCTGGATTTGTTGGGACGGCGATTTTCGGCGGCGAGGAGGAGCACCGCCTTGGGTAAAAAAGAGAAGAAGCTCTCCAAATAGGCTTGCCCTATAGGAGTCCTACATCCCCAGGACGAAAGTTTCATCCTCTTGGGCCTGGAGCAGCAGCAGCAGCATCCTCATCATCATCAACATCATCATGACAATGATCATCACGAGCAGCAGCAGTAGCACCATTATCATCATCACCATCATCATCATCATCATCATCATCATCATCATCATCATCATCATCATCCCCATTATCATCATCATCATCATCATCATCATCATCATCATCATCATCATCATCATCATCATCATCCCCATCATCTTCGTCGTCGCCATCATCATCATCATCATCATCATCATCATCAGCAGCAGCAGCAGCAGCAGCATAATCATACCGTCCATAGTCAGAATCATCACCAGCATCAGCACCACCATCATCATCAGCATGGTCACAGCAGTTTTCAGCATCGCCGCCATCACCACCCCTGTCATCATCATCAACATCATCAGCAGCAGCAACAGCAGCCGCATCATCTTCGTCATCGTCATCATCATCAACAACATCGTCGTCGTCACCATCGTAGTCGTCATCGTCATCAACCTAGCGTCGTCGTCATGATCGTCACCATACCGACCCGTGCCACTGGAATCAACACCCTCATCGCCACCATCATCATCACCGCCAGCATCACCGCCAAAATATCACCATAACACTCGCCATCCGCACCAGCAACGACATCATTACCAAACTCACCATCAC